CATCTTCACGTTACGTAAGGTAAACTACCTTCTTGTTTCCTCTATTTTTGAGTTTTTTTCCTCTTGGCTATTTGATTATATTTTCCTAAGTGCTCTATAAATAGTACAAAATGCTAGTTTGGTTGATCAAAAAGAGTCCAACATGTTCAATTGTGTATCTCTGAACCTGCTAGCCAAACACCTATGTTTTATTCTGGTCTGCCAAAGTTGGCAACATATGTTATCCATGTCTTTGTAAACTGAGATTTGACCATCCTTTTTAATCATCACAGTCCTTATTTTGGTTTTATTTTTTCAGTTGATATATTTGGTTTCAATGTATTTTATCTTTTGAAGCTAAGGCTTGGAAAATTTCAATTGTGCGGCTTTAGTTCAAATTGTGTTTGCTGGTGCTAATCAGGATTTTGCTCACCAATTTATTGTAAAAATCTGCTTTTTTATGTTAGCTAGTTGCTTTGTTTGCTTTTCCCTGCTCCTAATAAGGGGTGATGAAGATGGCAGAGATTCCTACCTTAAATCAATTGAAAGTGCTGACTCTTTTAATATATTTAAGGTTCGGCAAGATAGGTTTTTCAAAATTTTTACCTCATCTTTGAGGGACAGTTATGGTTCCCATCAATGCAGTACGCTATCAACCAATTCAATGGAGTGGACATCTAAGCCTTCAATGCACATAGATCACTTTAATTTGCATTTGCCCTTTTTCTTGAAGAACATGTCAAGTTGACATGCAAATTACACATACTGTGGTATGCACTGAGCTGAGTTGTGAGTGGCACTCTATAGAATTAGGTTCCCCGGGTAGAGTGAAAAAGATTATGTAGTTTTCCATGGCCAAAATATTAGGGAATTTTAGTGTCCCTGTCCCTGATCAGTGAGAGTTCAAGTAATATGCATACATTGTTAACAGTATCTTCTTTGTTATTTGATAGGGATTCATATATTCTTAGCGTGCAAAACTACTTCAACTCTTGCAAGTTAAATGGCATTTTTCGAATGAAGAGAACAAAATGTTGGATGTCTCTTAATCTAGATGTAGTTTGCATGGCATCTTTGCTCCTTAATGCTCCACAATTTGATTGTTGCCCTTAATTCTACCTTTGAGGGTCCATACTTCAAGCCTTATCGCTAATTCCTCCTGTAAAGAAATTTGTAGACTAACGTCTTACTTTTCCGATGTTGATGCTCTAGATCTTAACCGAGTTGCCGCATTCATGATTGATGATAATTGCAAATGCCCCAATCCTTACCTTGTAATGTTCAATATGAATGCAGCCAATCGAAACTCACATATCTGGTTAAGCATGCATCATCAGCAGAAGACAGCTTTGAAAGAGCAGTGCAATCAGTTGCTTGAAGATGTGGAGTTGGTTTCTGATAAAAGGTAGATTGGTGCCTGTTTACTCTCCTCTGGGTTCTGCAACTTACCGGAATCAATATATATTCCGTCTGTTGACGAAAGAGGTTAAGCTTTTAACTATACTAGATTGGTATTGTTCGGGTTATTACCAAGTAAATGTTTCCATTTAGTACATTAAGAGTAAAATATGGAATTGATGCAAAATCATCAAAAATATATATATTACAAATAAAAATCTCACTTATTCCAGCAAGCAACTGGAATTCAGTACTGTGATACTCGAATTTGGCTCGACAGGTAGTTGAAGCTGGATAGAAAAATGAGGCAGGCCAACGATGAGAATTAATCCAGAGACTAGGAAAGAAGAAAACAATTGAAGTATATTGGTGTCCAATAATAGTGGAGGTGTGTTGAAAAAACTGAAGGTATTTTAGTGGAGTGAACACTGTTAAATTGCACCCTGGTCAAGGCCTTGTCAATTCCATAAACAGCAGTCAATCTCTTGCACGCCAATCAGCACATTTTGAGTCTTTGATGTGTGCATATTTTTTTCAAGCAGGACAGGAGCAATAATGAGCTAAGCATAGCCGTTTAAATACCTTCTATCCCCAAGTTGTGCGCACGGCCACTATCATCCACCCCGACATATACCAAAATTTTCTTGGTATCTGGTGTCCAAATTGAACCACTGAAATGGCCTAAACATACCCCATGACCCAAATCATGATTTGACTTGAGGTGGTGTGTCAATGTTGATTCACCACCTCTTAATTTTTCCTCCACTCTTGTTTGTGACTTTGTGAAATTTCCTTCAATTAACCAAACCCGTGCAAACCGCCAAGGGAGATTTCCATAATCAAGTTTTTTTTGGTTTTCTGCACAAACTTTAATTTATTTTTATAAACATTTTTATTCATTCATATTATTTAATGAAAAATATTTTTGATTCGTTAAATTCTTAAAGATATAATTGTACCAAAATTAAATTCTATATATACCCATGGATGTAGCCATTATTAAATATTGACAGGGGTCAAAATGTTAGACTATTTAAGAAAAATATAAAGACTTATTAGGTATTTAAACTCGAAATTCAGCATAGCGATCTTAGTGATTAAGAGATTGTTGTTATACTTGAGATTCCGAGTTCAAGCACGTATGTAGGGGTTTGAACGTTCATTGTCAAATAGTTGAAAGTCTTTATACATATATTGCATTGTATTCACCTTAAATTGAAAAGAAAAAAAAACTCAAAACTCGAAAGACAACTTCTAATTTGTCTAATATTTAAACTTACACTGACTTAAATTGTAATTAGACCAAAAATTTTAGAATACGGACTTATCATTCTCTAGTTTGACCCCTACTTGATTAAATATTTAATAATTTTTTATATTTTTAAATTTAAATATTTATTTTTACATAAACTAAAATACTATTAAACTAAAATTATATTGAATATATAAATTTTAACATGAATCAAATTCCTTAGACCCTAATGGAGCTCTGTCCCTGTATATACCATTAACATTAACATTTTTTTTTGAATAACCATCAACATTAACATTTATGCATGGGGTATATTAAAAAAATGCGAATGTGTGGTGCGAGAGACAAACTTATTTATGTCCTGTTGTCTTATCTTCTCATATTGGGTGAGTGGATAAATCTGGGCCACATATATTTTGGCAACAAACATAATATCTATTCTAACTATTGACATTGCTCCTCTCCGGTCTCCACCCGTCACTGCCTTGCCTCCCAATTATTGCTTTCTCTTCCTTTTCTTCCCTTTGGATCCTCAATTTATTGTTTATTTCCCTACACACTACACAAATATGTGTTTCATATGCATGGAGGTTACTCATTTGCGTGAACATAATGTTTTTAATATAAATAATCAATTATCTAAAAATAATGTAAAAAATGAATATAATTAAAAATAATGAGAAAAAACTAAATTAAGGCGTTGTTTTATAATCCGAAAAATTAAGGACTATAAAAAGATAAATCATTAAACGTCCTTAAATATATATAAACAATCCTATAAATTCATCGATTCAAATGAATAAATGATATACATTTCTTTTACGATAGAAATTAATCAATATAAATAATTACAAAATAAAATAAAATAATTATAACTATATATAATATTTTGTAAAAGTATAATTTTAAAATTTTGTATCATATGATTACAAAAATTAGTGCAATAAAAGATTAAGTACTACAACTGATGCATATACGAATCACAATAATAAAACATGTTAAAAAATAGAATAATATATAGCATAATAAACTAATAGGCTTTTGAAATATGACCCAGTCAACAGACCAAGCACCACACTTTGCTCATATTCAATTTTTTTTATAAATATATTCAATTTAGTTTTTAAATAATATGATATAATTATAAAGTACTATTTATTCATAATTTTCTTAGTCTATTAACAACGTATGCATATCCTGTAGATATAGTTACTCGAATTTGAGCCTTCAATGAAGAATAATACTCTTTTTTACCCTTGAAATCACTCAATAAATTTTACATTAATAATCAATTTTGTATGTACAATCATCGTTGGATTTACATCAGATTATAATATTATTAGCAAAATATCGTAATTAAATATTTAAAATATATAGAATTTTTATAAAATAAATTGAAAGTGATTATAAAGTAATATATGTTATAAATATTCTTAACTATTTAATAATAAACGCTAAACTATCCTTATAATCACTGATACTTGAACTCATGATTTTTAAAAAAACAATAATTCTTTTACTTACAGAAGAAATTAATTTATGCGCACAGCAGTTTTTGAGAATCTAGTTGATAATCATACTTAATCTACAAATAATGAAATTAAGACATAAGCGTCCCAAGACCTCAAGGTTTACGTTTCATCCCGTGCCTTGTTCGAAAAGGAAACGAAATAGTCTAACGTGAGAGAAGTTTGGTCGGGCGCGTGAACAGACACGGCACGCGGCTGCTCGATCGGCCCTTTACATTCTCACTGTTTGCTCTCTGGCAAAAAACTGGCATCCATTCCCAAAATTGAATAATTAATCAAAATTAAAAAAAAACATAAATATAAGAAAATTGAATAATCGACTTCGATATTTTCAATTAAATTAAACAAATCCAACCCAATTTGAATTTATTAAAAAAAATTACTCTCATAATATAAACCTTAAATCTAAAATGACAAGAAGAAAATCAAAGTTTAATTTAAGCGAATGTGATGAGAAGGTATATAGAGATGATACGGAAGTTGAAAGTGTCATCTGAACTGATCTTCTTTCGTAAGTTATCTCCACCACCTAATATATTAATAATAATAATATTAAACTTGCTTCCTTAATTAAGTAAAAGAATTCCAACCATTTACGCCCTACTTTCCACGTCCTCCCTTGCTCTTTTTAACAAAGTCCTCTCAGTTTCAGCATCATCCACCTTTGTTTCCCAGTATGGATTTGGTTAATGCATACCGTTTAATGCTAATGTAACAAAATTTTACTCTAAACACGTGTCTTATAATTATTGGTTTACAAATTCATGTTGTTCACATCTGTATGTATATATATATATATATATATATGAAGGTACGAGTGATCTACATTTCAAAACCCATTG